GACAAAATAGCTAATGCCCGTCCTTGTGTGGGCGTTGTAACCAAAGGCAAAGAATTTTGGAAAAAAGTTCAAAATCGGAGATATTAAGTTTTTTTTTCCGCCTGATATTTAGGTGGTTTTGTCCGACTTATGTAGGTGGTTTTGTCCGCCTATGTAGGTGGTTTTGTCCGCCTTATGTAGGTGGGTTTGTCCGACTTATGTAGGTGGGTTTTCTCCGCCTTAAGTAGGTGGGTTTGTGCGTTGTTTCGTGTGCATGGTGCTTTGGTGGTTATGCGTGCATGATACAACTTGGGACTGTTGCAGAGGAGAAAAAAAAAGATCTTCACATACCCGCCCAACTCTTCCTCAGGTCCGATCATCCAAGCCGTTCAATGCAGAATTGGAAAGAGAACATTGTGATCCGCGCCGCTTTATTCTGCTCTGTTGCTAAGCTTCCTCTTACGGGCACACTCCCTCACACACGCCCGAACACTAAACCCTTAACCCCGGAGATGAACGGGGGGAGGGCTGTAGGAAAGGACAACTGGTCAAACTAAAGTTGTTTGCCCTCAACAACAGTTGGAAAAACAGAGTCACACACACATGCACTGTGTGAGAGAAATGTACTTAGTAGACATAAAAGAGAAAAATATGTTGGGATTCGGTGCATTAAACAAGCGACCGTTTGAAAGGCGGTGACCAAGAGCTAAGAGGTAGAGATCCTGCAGGCACAATTAGCAACAGCAAAGAAACACACAAACATGGTATAGGGCCCATATTCACATGATATATCACATGATTCACATGATCACATGATTCACATAGATTCACAGGGTATAGGGCCCATAACACTTAGTAATCGTCTTATTGTGCTTCCAGGGATTCGGCTTCAGCTCTTTGTCCCCGGCTCTCAATCTTCATCCAGGGTCAGGATACATCAAGCATTTGTGCAACCAATTACGAAACCTGTGCATCTTTCTTCAGTCACAACGGCTTTTGCTTATATTTATTACACTGTATGAACTACGAGGTTGTTTACAATAATAATAACCTTGGGTTGTGAAGGTTTCAAGTTCGTAAACTGCTTGATAAATGTAAACAATGACGTCATGATTAACGAAAGATGTACAGGTTTCGTAAATGATTAGATAAAGGCTTGGTCATGCTGGCTTAGCGCATCCTTTTGTTAATTACTAACTCCTCCAATTTAGTTACTACCGCATTTCATTTGTTCGCTACTCTGACACTGAGCAAATTATTTGTCTCTCTGTGGCCCATTTGGGTAATTAGTTTTCACCTGTGTGTTCCGTCTTCGCGCCCCAGGCATTCCAAATTGTCTGTCCCTGTCTATTCCCCCTTGAAACTTTTGTGTATGTGGAACTTTTATAGTTGTGGGCGTCAAATGTTTAAAGAGGGACTTTGAGATTTCCTTCGGGCTACTCTCGACAAGCCAGGCTGCAACCATCAACAGTTAGGTTGATCAGCGAACCAATAGCGTTGATCACATTTATATACACGTCACGCTGGGAACCAACACCACCGTCACAGCTGTATGCGTCACGCAGCACCTAGCACCACCGTCACAGCTATATGCGTCACGCAGCACCTAGCACCACCGTCACAGCTATATGCGTCACGCAGCACCTAGCACCACCGTCACAGCTATATGCGTCACGCAGCACCTAGCACCACCGTCACAGCTATATGCGTCACGCAGCACCTAGCACCACCGTCACAGCTATATGCGTCACGCAGCACCTAGCACCACCGTCACAGCTATGTGCGTCTCGCAGCACCTAGCACCACCGTCACAGCTATATGCGTCACGCAGCACCTAGCACCACCGTCACAGCTATGTGCGTCAGGCAGCACCTAGCACCACCGTCACAGCTATATGCGTCACGCAGCACCTAGCACCACCGTCACAGCTGTATGCGTCACGCAGCACCTAGCACCACCGTCACAGCTATATGCGTCACGCAGCACCTAGCACCACCGTCACAGCTATATGCGTCACGCAGCACCTAGCACCACCGTCACAGCTGTATGCGTCACGCAGCACTTAGCACCACCGTCACAGCTATATGCGTCACGCAGCACCTAGCACCACCGTCACAGCTATATGCGTCACGCAGCACCTAGCACCACCGTCACAGCTATATGCGTCACGCAGCACCTAGCACCACCGTCACAGCTGTATGCGTCACGCAGCACTTAGCACCACCGTCACAGCTATATGCGTCACGCAGCACCTAGCACCACCGTCACAGCTATATGCGTCACGCAGCACCTAGCACCACCGTCACAGCTATATGCGTCACGCAGATCTAGCACCACTCTCATAAATCAAAACCCAGCGTGTTCATTTTTCAACCTTGGCCCGACACGAGCCGGGCAACTAGAGGCATTTTCATTAACGCGTCCCAAAGACTGGCTCCGGAACCCTCCGTGTCGTCCCAGTCACTCCACAGACAACACAACAACAACAATCTGCTCTTAATTTTGAAGTACAGGATAAACGACGGGTAAAGAATTGGGTGAAAGTTGCAGAACGTAATTCACTGTAACGTGGCTGAAAATGTAAACAGACGAGCCACATGTGTGAAAATGTGGTTAGTGACGACGTTTCGGTCCGTGTGTGTGTGTGTGTGTGTGTGTGTGTGTGTGTGTGTGTGTGTGTGTGTGTGTGTGTGTGTGTGTGTGTGTGTGTGTGTGTGTGTGTGTGTGTCTGTGTGTAAATAATGAAAATTAACAAGTGATGAAAAATGTGACGGTGACAAACCACGAAGGAAGGATTAAGACGGGAATTTCCTTAAATTCTTTCGTATTTAATAATACATCTTCAGAAAGATACATCCTTCTGATAATGTATTATCAAACACGAAAGTATTTATGGAATTTGTCTTAATAATTCCTTCGTGATCTGACATTCTTCATCGTGTGTTAATTTTTTCGTGATTTACACACATACATATATATATATTCTTATGTTTACTTGTTTGGCCTCTCTACGAATCTTTTTTTTCTTTACTTATAAAAGAACAATATTTACAGATAAAAAAAAACACAAACATGATTCCAGCAACATAAATCCCATATATAGAACCTCAAAAGGAACACCAACATCAAAATCCCGAGAGTAAACATGACGGTAATCAAGTATTTGAAATGAGTGGCACAACACACAACAATTGCATACACAAGCACGTAAACAGGTAGTTACACCGCACACAAGAAACCAAGTTTGGCACGCATGCCAAGGGTTGCCACCCCCTGCGACGAATTGTTTAAGCGACTGGATATCGTCCCTTCAGAGAACTCCCGCCCTGTCATGCAAGTCAAAACGTTCCGCGAGAACAACAAAATTACTCAAATCTTTATATATATCAAAGTTAATTACGAAGAATAACAGTAAAAAAGGCTCAGTAATCCACGTCCGCCGTGATGGACACGTAAGGTTGGGAGTTCAGAGGCGCCTCAAAGGAAGAACTGGCACGGGCGAGAGGCGGGTTCTTTCTTTAACTTCGGAAGGCATCGATCTCCAATGTGTCAATCAGGTCCCCAGCTATTCTGAGCGTTAGTAAGAATTGTGACCGATGGATACGATACATGCCTCGCACGGTCTTATATCAGGGGGTAACCCTTTCTTGTCTTGTCGTCACATTTTCCCCCAGTGCCCTCCTGATGTGATAAGTTGCGGTAGTGTAGAAACTTTCTCGTATCGGCGGAAATATTTGTTTACTTTAACCGAGTACGGGGGAAAGGGGGTCTGGACGAATGGTCGTGAAGGGTTCTTGAAGACGGAACGAAGTAGCTCCTTTATGTCAAGCTCAGATACAACGAAGCGGTTCCCCGTATCTTAAGCCCAAACAAAGTAAAGTTCCAGCACGATTTCAGGTCTAACTGGCGACAAGAGTTTCTCGGAAACGTATAGTATTTTGTTCTCTTTTCTCATCATTCCTACTTTTCCCCGTTTAATAACATTAGCCCATAACATTTACTGACACTTTGATTCCCTGACATTTACTGACAAACACTGACCCCTTGACATTTACTGACAAACACTGACCCTTTGACATTTACTGACAAACACTGACCCCTTGTCATTTACTGACAAACACTGACCCCTTGACATTTACTGACAAACACTGACCCCTTGACATTTACTGACAAACACTGACCCCTTGACATTTCCTGACAAACACTGACCCCTTGACATTTACTGACAAACACTGACCCCTTGACATTTACTGACAAACACTGACCCCTTGTCATTTACTGACAAACACTGACCCCTTGACATTTACTGACAAACACTGACCCCTTGACATTTACTGACAAACACTGACCCCTTGACATTTCCTGACAAACACTGACCTCTTGACATTTACTGACAAACACTGACCCCTTGACATTTCCTGACAAACACTGACCCCTTGACATTTCCTGACAAACACTGACCCCTTGACATTTCCTGACAAACACTGACCCCTTGACATTTACTGACAAACACTGACCCCCTGACATTTACTGACAAACACTGACCCCTTGACATTTACTGACAAACACTGACCCCCTGACATTTACTGGCAAACACTGACCCCTGACATTTACTGACAAACACTGACCCCCTGACATTTACTGGCAAACACTGACCCCTGACATTTACTGACAAACACTGACCCCTTGACATTTACTGACAAACACTGACCCCTGACATTTACTGGCAAACACTGACCCCTGACATTTACTGACAAACACTGACCCCCTGACATTTACTGGCAAACACTGACCCCTGACATTTACTGACAAACACTGACCCCTTGACATTTACTGACAAACACTGACCCCTTGACACTTACCCTCTGACATTTCGATCCATTTTTAACCTCCCCTCCCCCCCTTGGCCACTCTTGCCCACTCTTTTATTTACAGGACACAGATTTTCCTCCCTTCGCTGACTTCCCACGCCAGGTGTACACGCCTCACCTGACTTGCCCCACACACACACACACACACACCTTAAGAGAAGGAAGCCTTCATAATGCTGTATTTAAGACGTGAAGCCCCACCCTTGAGCGCACAACCCCAGTAAGGAGCCCTCACCTGAAAATACAAAATAAAGCTTTAAAGTGTAGAAGTGTACATGAAAACTTGTCCCGCAATAAAAAAACAAAACAAGAATGATGTACAATGAAAGACGCAAATGACTGGGCATCATCACCTTGGTGGAGGAACGCACCACAAACGTTCGTAATCAGAAAGTAATTATTTTTACTTTATTATCTTTATTGAAAAAAAAGATACAATCTTGATTAATGGGAGTAGTACAATGAAATGTTATTGCAGTGAAGATGCTGCTCGTATTCACTTCCACACATGAATTAAAACTGGAGACGTGTATGCAACCCGTCCTCATCAACGAAGGCCATTCTTCAATCCATACAGCCGCCAACCCCTACTCTTTTATGCACAAAATACCCCACGAGGACCTGAAGAAGCTAAGAACGCGTACAATAAATGCCTCATTTAAGTCAATACAGGGACCTAGGTGTATACATAATGCCAAGCCGAAAATGGGACATGCAGACAGGATAATGTCAGCAGCATATTAAACACAACCTTCAGGATCCTGCGCAAAAAGCTTTTCAAATCATTCATTACATAACTGATGACAGTGAAATGCTCTCCCAACCATGGAAACTTAGCTTAAAATGCACAAAGTGAAATTCGAGAAAAGTCTACAGGTATGCTACAAAAGTATGCTATAAAACTGGTCCCAAAAGATATATCTCAGCAACGAGGAAAAACCTAAACTGAACCTTACACTGCTGTCAATGAGAAAGGGCATAAGTAACATAATCGTGATATGAAAAAGTCTTAATGGCACTGGTAAAATAGACTGTTTAGGAGCAAAACAAGAAAATATGACCCCAGTTCCTGCTTGCCGAGTTTATATCAAAGTGCTGAGGATTGAGAGAGTCTTACTTACCGTGATTTCCTCGCGTACTAGTGCTTTCCTTCCTATCAAGCCTAAACAGTTTGCAGCAACATAACTTTAATTGATATACTAAGTCTAGATCAATTTCATCTTTGTGCATGCTAATTTGACTGCTATGTCTGCGTAATAATGGTTATATAACTGAGATATAATACGGAACGGAGAGAACCGGAGACACAAAATCTACAGCAAGGCGTCTAAACAGATGGCTAGACATAGGGCCTCATACTCCCCATACATCCCATCCTCCTGTTTAGATAGTACCTATTGTGACGATCGTCAATAGTCACGAATTCGTACTATCTTAGCTTTTAGACAGTAGTATACTGACTAGTAAGGAATTCTTAAAACAAATGAAGCTAAAAAACAAACTTAAATATTCCTAGGCCTAGTATAGCACACATATGTACTATATAGTCCTCAGATATCGTGTATTAGTCCTAGGAAGGTTAGGTTAGGTTAGTTTACTTTGTCTTTGCAATACAAGTAAAAAGTAGTTTTCCGTTTTGTCCAACTCAATAGTGCTGATTTCTACTTTCTAATTTCGTTGTACGTTGGTATATATATATACTATGGTTATTATATTACGTTATTATTAATAACGTTATATTACTATACGTTATTATAAGTACTACCAAAACAAGAGGATGGGCTACCTTATACCTAAGCCAAACCTTCACACATTTACAGGCGATGAGTCACAATAACGTGGCTAAATTATGTTGACCAGACCACACACTAGAAGGTGAAGGGACGACGACGTTTCGGTCCGTCCTGGACCATTCTCAAGTCGATTGAGCATGGTCCAGGACAGATCGAAACGTCGTCGTCCCTTCACCTTCTAGTGTGTGGTCGGGTCAACATCTTCACACATTTAATCCAGTATCTTCAAATATCTACGTCAGGAAAACATTGACTGCTCTCAACAGGTCAATGAAACAAATGAAAATCGCCTTCATGCGTACTTGGTCGGTCTTCTTCCTGGGAAAATTGACCAAACCACTTGTACTAAGCACTCTACCAGACTGGAAGAGAACACCCATGTAGATGTCACTGAACGCAAACCTGCTTTTGACATCCTTTGATGGAGCTTATAGAGTAATTTACCTTAGATCAATTAGTCTTTTTTTGACGTGAACAAATCCGCCGACATGGATCAGAGGATACTTGAGCAACAGAGCTGCCCTCAGTCATTTACAAGGGGATAAATAGCACTAATGCTGCCTTTGAGTTAGACACACCCTTAGGGCAGTGTGCTCAGTCCTCAACTTGCCAATGTGTCGACGCATAGACAGATACAGTATACCCACTCAAGCTAATGAGGTTATCATATGCCATGTAAACTTCTGAATCACTTAGCAGTAGTAACCGTCTACAAGCTCTTCTTGAGGCTCTCGTCACTACAAGTATTCCTACTATAGGTTACTTTCCTACTACAGAATGGACATAAATGCAACTGAACACCTACTGAGAATGCGTTTAATTTTAAGCGCATTTTTTTAGTTTAAAAAAGCTTAATTTACATTCTCTAAAAAAGAGAATGTAAGAGAAAGGTGTGTCATGATCGAACTATATAAATAGATATAAACTATAACAAGAGAGAAGTAAATAAGGTTTTAAACATATCAAGACAAAACAAAACACGAAACAATGGATATAATTTGGATAAATATAGATTCTGAAAAGACCTGGGTAAATACTGGCTTGTAAATAGTGTTGTTGATTTAACAAATTAGCAGTTAACGTAATAGACGAGAGACTGCTGGATTGTTTCAAGCGAGGTAAAACATACATATGAGTGTTTGTGTGGATATAATTAGGAGCTGCCTCATATAGACCAATAATATAATAGTATACACCTAATATTCCCTATTATCCTGCGATACGGTGATATTAGGTGACGTAACACTGTAACCCCGTCACACAGATCACGGTAATACTGATGTGTACGTACTCTTGTAAAACACTAAATCATTAAATGGCATTAAATGGTATCCTGACGCGTACAGTGTTGCCAAGTGCGCACAGACCAATCCTCTCAACCTTATCCTGACGCATACAGTGTTGCCAAGTGCGCACAATTCATGAAAATGTTAAAATATCTGGAAAGGCAATTGCATGGAAAAATTGCACCCGCGGAAATTCTTCAAGCAAGCGATCAACTGGGACAAATATTCCTTCGGCTATATCCCACGGCGGGCAGCATATCCAGGAAATATATCAGTGCAAACAATATCGCGGATAGCGGGACCTGCCGTCGTTATCCTAGACCCGTGGTTTCAATATTTTATGTTTTATTCCCCCCTCCCCCAACCATGTTCTCACCTGTGGACCCCTACAACCACGTTCTCACCTGTGGACCCCTACAACCACGTCCCCACCTGTGGACCCCTACAACCACGTTCTCACCTGTGGACCCCTACAACCACGTTCTCACCTGTGGACCCCTACAACCACGCTCTCACTTGTGGACCCCTACAACCACGTTCTCACCTGTGGACCCCTACAACCACGTTCTCACCTGTGGACCCCTACAACCACGCTCTCACTTGTGGACCCCTACAACCACGTTCTCACCTGTGGACCCCTACAACCACGTTCTCACCTGTGGACCCCTACAACCACGCTCTCACTTGTGGACCCCTACAACCACGTTCTCACCTGTGGACCCTTCCACCAAAATATTTCGAGCTAGCAAAATAAACTGCAACCATTGCTGCGACAAACACACACACACACACACATTCATGTGTCACAAACCCAGTATTGTTATTCTCAGCTAAAACTGCTTGTAAATAATAACAGGAGACATTCAGTTCAATATACTCACAAGTAGATGTAATTTTGTTAAGAGTACAATACAATAGATAGTATTAGTCCCATGGAACACCGGTTTGGAACCACTGCGCCGTAGAGACTCGGCATTACCATTCTAGGCCTAGGGGCTTGACGTCGTCACTCTAGGCCTAGGGGCTCGACGTCGTCATTCTAGGCCTAGGGGGTTAGCGTCGTCAGTCTAGGCCTAGGGGCTCGACGTCGTCATTCTAGGCCTAGGGGCTTGACGTCGTCACTCTAGGATCTAGAGGCTGGATTAAAGTTGTCAAATCGCAGCACCTCTATTAGGCTACTCCCAGGGGGCCCGGAGGGCGGGGTCTAACCCGTTCTCTCGCCTAATACTTAATGGAATCGACCAATCCGTTACAAATGCAACGTATCAGTAAAAATAAAAGCACCGTAATATTAACGTTTTCTATGCACCGGCCTCAATAGGTTAGATGGGTTGCTTGGGTTCGTACGTTTCTGGTTAAGCACAACTGTTGAAATTTTTACGGAGTGCCAAACTGATAGAACGGACTGAACTGGCAATTCTAAACTAGAGGGTTGTAACTGGCAACCGTGCCAATAGTAGCAATATGGGTAGTTTGGCTATTGTTTACGTCTATGTTCCCGTGGCAGTCTCACTCTGTCTGTCTGCCTGCCTGTCTGTCTGCCTATCTGCCTGTCTGCCTATCTGCCTGTCTGTCTGCCTGTCTGCCTATCTGCCTGTCTGCCTGTCTGCCTGCCAGCCTGCCTGTCTGTCTGCCTGTCTGTCTGTCTGTCTGCCTGTCTGTCTGTCTCGCTCTCTCTCCGTACTCGTAACACGACTCTCACGTTAACATATTAACAAAACTGTTCTACTAGTAATATGTAGCGTCTTCTTTTCCACGCCTTGTGCTATCTCATCGCGACACCTTGTTCATAATACTGCCAGCTGTCACGGCGGTGAGTCTAACGACCGCACATGACACATCACGCTCACAAACGAGGCCCTTCGACCCTCCACACCGGCCTCTTTCCCAGATGCTGTCATGATCACTTCTCTCCCAATTTCTTAACACAATAACATTCACACTCTCTTACTCCTGTTAAATAATATATATATATATATATATATATATATATATATATATATATATATATATATATATATATATATATATATATATATATATATATATATATACGTTGTGTAAATTTATACTAAGTGTAATACATTCTACAGTTAATTATTTATTTTAGTTTACCACTAAAAAGATGACATTTGGAGAAATCCTCTTGCAATTAA